CCGGGGGGGGGCTGGGCAGTTTGTGGGCAGGGGCCGGGCTCTCGGTTTGCTGTGGTTCTGCTGGGTCCCAGCCGTGGCCCTTCTCTGCTTTCCCAGCCCCCCCCGGGCTCCCTTGGGTCTCTGCTGTGGGCTCCCCTCCCCCAGCCCGGGGAGATCCCCTTGGTCGTGGCATCTGTTGTGCTTGGTGTTGGTTTCTGCATTAACACCTGCCGTCCGGCTGCGTTCGCACCGTGCTACAGACTCGGCAGAGCCCCTTTCCTGGGCCAGGTTTGCCTCTGGAAACGTTGAACTGAAGCACAGAAATACTCCCATTCAGGCCTTCCTGCTCAGCCCAAGGCCCTGTCCCCGCGAGGCAGGTTCTGGACTCGCTGGCAGTGCCTGGCAGCCCCGGGGCATTCAAAGGCGCTTCTCCCTCGGGTCAGATCGGAGCAGTGCACTCCGGCTCCCTGTGGGGTGGGAGCTGCCCAGAAGGGCCACAGTCGTTTTCTCCTGGGAGGTGCTTGTGGGATTTGGTCACTGCCCTCCTACGTGGAAATGGGAGAACCCAGCGGGCCCACGATGGGCGGGTACTGCTGCTGCTGTTTAGGGGTGCTAAGAGGCAGGTCATGACGTGCAGGCAGCCTGGCTCACCGCAGTGGGGATGGGTCTGGGTCCCGGACCGCTGCGCCTCTGCCTCTGCCTCTGCCTCTGTTTCCTGTTTGTCCTCAGACTAGAACCCGACATTTTGCTCAGAGCCAAACAGGACTTCCTGAAAATTGACAGTGCTGCTGACTTACAGTGAGTGTCTGGCTTTCCCCCGCTCTGCCAGCGACTCAGGGTGAGCTGACACGCCCCGAGGGCTAGGGCTCCGCCCGATCCCAGCCCGGCTGGGGAGCAGCATTCGCTAGGGCCGGGGCGGGGAACCTCCGGTCCGCAGACCGGATCCAGCCTGTTGCTAAATTTCATCTGGCCTGTGGTTCCCCCCGGAGCCATGAACACCAAAATCCCAAGTCTGCGTGCACAGGTGGGGGAACTAGAGGTGCAGCGGGTGCTGTGGCACCCCCAGGTTTTGCTGGGCCCTGCCAGGGGTTCTGTTCCCACCCCCAGAGGTGGCCCCAGCCTCAGCCCTCGTACACCGGTCCACCCTGCCCCCGAACTGTGGCCCAGTCTTGGCCCCAACTCTGGGGAGAGGGGCATGGACAGGGGAAGGTCCCCATTGTAAAAATTGCTCCAGCGCCACGGCCTCCCGTGGGTGAGTGGCCTGTGATCGACTTTTCCTGTGGGTCTGTGGCCCATGACAGAAAAGCCCCCACCCCCCGGCAGGCTACAAAGCCACCAATGGAGGCTTTGGTCCCTCTTGCACTCTCTGCTCAGCTGGTGCCAAAGGGGCCAACCTGGGGTGCAGCCCCCCTCGTTCTGAGCGGAGGGGCGTTCCGGGCTCTGGCCGTGGGGCTGGAAGGGAAGGGGGCGGAGCCATGCTAAGCAGGGCGCTCCCTCTCGGGGTGGTCAGGGGGCCCAGCGAGGACAGAAGAGGGATCTAGAGGGTCTGGGTTGGCAGAGACCGCAGGAGGTGTCTAGACCAGCCCCAATAAATCATCGCAGCCAGGGCTTGGAGACCTCGAGGGATGGAGGGAACCCGCCCCAGGGCTTCCCCACCCGCCCGTGTTCCCTGCTGTCCCACCCAGACCTCCCCCTCGGCCACTTGGGACCGTTGCTCCTGGCCAAGGAGGAGGAGCCGGGAGGGCTACGCAGGGCTCCCGGGGGTAGGCAGGCGGCGCGGCAGTCCTGGGAGGGAAGCCAGGGCTCCAGTCGCTGTAGCGGCAGGGGTGGGTCTGGGGAAGGTGCCCGCCAGAGGGAGGCTGGCTGGAGCGCTGGGGGGGCTGCCTCGCTCGTCCCGCCCGGCCCGGCCGTTGCTCTGCGCTGTCTTTCCCTCCTGCCTTCGCTCTCGGACGCGCAGACGGGGCAGGCGCCGCCCCGCGTCTCTGT